TGCCTCCAGCAGACTGTCTACCTCTCCCCCCAGTTCCAATGATCTCCTTCATCCCAAGCCACACTTCCCTCATGTTGTTTTTTTGGAGTTTGTCTTCCAACTTCCTCCTGTAGGACTCCTTACACTCCCTAACTTTGTCCCTCAATTCATGTTGAACGATCCTCAACTGCTCTTTATTTCCCAACTTAAACACTCTCTTCTTAGTGTTAAGTAATGCCTTCAGTTCACTAGTGATCCATGGTTTATTATTAGGAAAACAGCGAACAGTCCATGAGTCCTGACTTTTTCTACTGTACTCTCCCTGTATTCTCGTTTCTCTCACAGGTTCCCCTCATTGTGAGCGTTGTCCATCTGAGTTCTGGTCCAATGTTGAACGAACTGCCTGCATCCCTAGCCAACTGGACTTCCTTTCATTTAATGAAACACTGGGCATTACTCTGACTACAGCAGCTGTGTTTGGTGCTGCAGTGACAACAGCTGTGTTTGTGGTGTTTCTTTCCTACCGTCAAACACCTATGGTAAGAACCCAAAATATTGTTATATATACATATATAAAACAGGATCATCCAGAGGTGACCAGTGTTTGGGAATAAATAACAACCACCCTGCAGATGTCTCACTTAATCCTGTTACACAGCAAGTAAAATAAAACCAACAACACTGCGTGCTGTTGTTGCTGTTAAGTTGCAGTTTCTTCATACACACAAGTTTCACACAGACATACCTTTGTTACTACCATGGAGATATACATTGTCTCTGTTTTTGCATTTTATTAGACAGTTTGATGAGCTTTGAAAGCAGCTGTAGGTGTAGGTCTGGCAGTGATTACTATATAATTTTATTATATTATTTTAAAAACAGTGAAATGTATTTAAATTTACGTGTTGTGGATTTTACACACTGGATGCAACTGTAACTGCTGCTGGTTACAGGACCAGAGACTTTCTGTCTTCTATGTGTAAAAGATGATCAGTGATATTATCAGACTGCTGAGTGAATATTTATGTGCAGTACTTCTACATAAATAGTTTTGCCACTGTCAGCCTTGGAATGTAGTGCATAACTGGCAGGAGAAGAAGATAACAGGGAGATAATCCTTCCTCTCATATATTTCCATGTCTTGTCATCACTAACATCAGTCAGTGATGTTTCTGTCCTGCTGCTTAAAGTGGGTGAAAGCAGCTGGTTCGATTGGACATAACTAAAGCCAGCCCTAACTCCACCTGCTCACCATGTATTCCTCCCTCTAATAATGTATTATGCCTCTCCTCCAGAATGCGCCACGTAACACCTGGTTGTGCATAGAAGTGCACTATGTCTGTGGTCACCATAACTGGAGAACGTTGTTGAACATGCCCATATATACCTTGCACCTGGAGTTTAGACACATGTTTAGTGCTGTGCCCTGTTGCAGGAAAATTAAGCCCAGTGACTTCTCATTTTAGGTGCGAGCCAACAACTCAGAACTGAGCTTCCTGCTTCTTTTGTCACTGAAGCTCTGCTTCCTGTGCTCACTGGTGTTCATTGGTCGTCCGTCAGTCTGGACTTGTCGGCTTCAGCAGGCAACATTTGGGATGAGCTTTGGTCTTTGTGTTTCCTGCCTCCAAGTTAAAACCATAGTTGTTCTGGCAGCATTCCGCTCAGCTCGGCCTGGTGCTGAAGCCTTGATTAGATGGTTTGGTCCAGGCCAGCAGAGAGGAAGTGTCTGTTTTCTTACTTGTATACAGGTACTGCATATGTAATTTTCTTTTTTATATTTTTACATTAATTTTACTATGTTTTACATTAATCAACTATATTTTATTTTAACTCAGATAATCATCTGTGTCACATGGCTGTCTCTTAGTCCCCCTGTGCCTCAACGTGATCTGGGTTTCCAAGGGTCAAAGGTCACTTTGGAATGTGCCATGACCTCCGTGGTGGGCTTCTCACTGGTTCTGGGGTACATTGGTCTGTTGGCCTGCACCTGCCTCATACTAGCCTTTCTTGCACGAAAACTCCCTGACAACTTCAATGAGGCCAAACTGATCACTTTCAGCATGCTGATTTTCTGTGCAGTTTGGGTGGCCTTTGTCCCTGCTTATGTTAGCTCTCCTGGGAAGTACACTGTTGCCGTAGAGATTTTTGCAATCCTGGCCTCTAGCTATGGTTTACTCATCTGTATTTTTGCTCCAAAATGTTTCATCATCCTTTTGAGGCCTGAGAGAAACACTAAGAAACACCTGATGGCCAGGTAGCATGGATACATTAACCGAATACATATTTTAGCTCAACAAATATAACCAATATTAAGTCTTAGTTTTTCTTTGCTTGCAAATAGCCTTTGTTTAACATATGTATTCAGTATTTTTTAATGGTAAATAAAATTAATTTATAATTTTGATTTTCCAAAAAGTAGGAAATATCAAGTCACTGTAACCATTGTTGCTAATATTGTATTCACATTACTAAATACCCTGTTCATAATTTCTCAAGATATTAGATGATTTAAAAAAAAAATTTCTCTGGTAAAAGTTTTTATTTCATATTGGGTTTTATAAAACTTTGGATCACCAGTTGTACCATAAATTATATTAGTGAGATTTATCAGCATCAGTACCTGATACCTGCATATCTTGCTATGAAGTGAGTCGTATTACATCCTGTTTTATTTTTGTGTTTCCTGTTCCCAATTCAATTCAATTTGTATAGTGCCAAATCACAACAAAAGTCATCTCTTTTAAAGTAAGGTGTAGACCCTACTATTATTAAAATCATATAGGGGTCTGACAGACCCCGGCTCTTGTTGGGCGGCCTTCTGCCTCAACCGGTTTGGGTGAGTGGATAAAGGAGAGAAAAAAGAAAAGAAAGGCAACAAGACACAACAAACACTGGGCAGGTTGCCTGGTCAGTGACTGCTCATCAGAAATGTGCCTCCCAAACTGAGACTGGGAGCATGATCCACAGGTGAGGAGCTTGATAGCTAAAGCCTCAGCCTCCCATTCTACTAGAACTGCACTCTGAGAGTGAGGTGCTCTGTTGGGATGATAAGTGACTATGAGGTCTTGAAGATATGATGGAGCCTTGTCATTTTTATGTTTGCTCATACATGGGAGAGGAGTGAGCAAAAGAAAGGTGGACCCAGATAGCTGACTTCAGTGCAAGCAGTGATTTATTATAAACAGTGCAGTGAATGGTAAAATAAGGCAGGTGGAGATGAACTGGATAACCGGGTGTCAATCAGCAGCAGATAGCAGTACAATGATGAGATGGATAGAGTGGGCTGAGCTGCGGTGCTGGGGGTCACTCCTGAGCTGGTCGGTGGACAACGGAGGTTACCGGGGAGACAGAAAGCAGGGTATAGTACAGATGGTAACTGGTGACTGTGCATCAACCTGACCGGGGCAGACTGGAAGGGTTGAGTGGAGCCAAGGTCCGGAGGTAGTAGTCCGTGGAGGAAGAAAAACAGCATGGGAGGAGAGTGGCAGCAGGGAGTCCAAATATATAAAAATGACAACAAAAGGAGAAGGTAAAACACAACTGCAGCATTGAGGGCCTGAGAAAACTAGAACGAACTGGCAAGGGAGTGATGGGTGAGCAGGGTATAAGTAAGGGCAGAACTAATAAGGTGCAGCTGGTGACAATCAAGGGATGTGGAGCAGGTGTGCCAGGTGGTGTAATCGGGCTAAAAAAGAAAACAAAGTGAGGGAGGTGAGAGAGGCAGGTGCAGCCGGGCAAACCTGACAGTCATTAAGGGCTGTGTATGTTAGGAGAAGGATTTTAAATCTATTCTGGATTTTACAGGGAGCCAGTGGAGAGAAGCTAATATGGGAGAGATATGATCTGCCTTGCTAGTCTGTCAGTTTTCTGCTGCCTGTCAGTACTTAGGCTGCAGAATTTTGGATTAACTGGAGGCTTTTTATTGAGACATCCTTATAGTAAGGAGTTAGGGTAGTGCAGCCTGGAAGTAACAAATGAATGGCTCACCACTGGTTCTAAATGTACTTTAAAAGGACCCTGAGGTAACTGATTACTGAGAGAAGTCCAGAAGTCCACCCTTTTTGTCTATCCTGCCTCCTCCACTTTAAATTTCTCATCTTCACAGAAGTTGTGTATCTTGGTTACAGTGGTGGTTCTCGAATCTTATTCAACTTATGAAGTCTTGTTTTAAAATTTCAGACCACTTTAGAAGTTATAAACATGAGCTGTTCTGACCTGAGGTATTTCAACTTGAAATGAGGAGTTGAATGAATAAACTGCTGAGACTTCACTCAACTTATTAAATGAAATTTTAAAGAAACAAAAATAGCAGACTTCCCAGCATGCCTTGCTGGAGAGTTAAAACTCTTCAGAAACTCTTCTTTTTTTGTATTTTGATGAGCCCATATATGGTGTAAACTTTATTTATGTTTGTATTACACAAACTAAATTACCGGTATGATTGTTTCTTTTCACAAAACTGAAAATGATACCTGCTGATAAAGGTTAGTACTGAATTCACTCACTACCTCCACACACTTCTGAAAAAGCAGTCTATTGTGCTGTGTGTACTTTGGTCAAAAATGCTTTTAACAGCTACAGCTGTCTAGTTCTTTGTGTCAGAAGAAACACTGACACTTTAAACTGAGAAATGTAAAAGAAATATAAATCAGCCTGTAATGAGTTTCCATGCATCTGGAAGTTGTGTCAACACTTTTAGTTTATTCAACTTAACATTTTTAGTTTATTCTACTTGTTTTTGAGTTTAGTCAACCTAGCAGAGTTAGTTTAAAAACATTAAAACTCAGAAAACAACATTAAGCTAACTGTTCAATCTAAGTTGATTTTACTGAAATGTTCAAGGCAGAAGGGTGAACTTGCATTTCTAAGTTTAACCAGCTTCAAATAATTTACAGTGTACAGTGTACAAGTGCCCCAAAAAATATAGCAAATGTTAGTATAGAGCCCTGACCCTAAACTGATACTTTAATGCATGTTTAGTCTTTCAAATAAAAGATAAATTAAAATGGAATATCTGTTCAATCTAACCAAAATCATTCCAAATTGCACTGTATCTTACTGTTACAATTTTTGCTATATTGTTTTTGTATCCAATTGTGCACCATTTATCGAGATGTTTATCGAATCATGTGAAAGGG